GAATGGACGATGTTTTTTCTATGACCCCGTTTCCATAGGCATCACTGATCCTGATCAGTACCGGCTTTGCCCATGAAAACGGTCCCAGTCATCCGGATCAGTAGCGGCTCCACTGATCCGGATACGAATCCCTTTGCCGATGGAAACGTAGTCTATGTTAATTGCTGAATGGCTGAGCACGAACAAAAATACATATTCAGTCCTTGAATCATCTGGCCCTTCCCGCAGAAATTCAAGCATAATCAGGATCATGACAGGATCAAGGGAGGCAGCTAGCTTAGACCTCGTTATATCGCGTATGAATGTGTCAGGATGGTCAATGCCCCCAATATCAGATCGCCATCAAACCGGCTACTGTCCCACCCCCGTAATGTGCACGAATCTTCTCTGGAACTAGTTATTGAGCCGCGCTCTGCGGTATACCAGACGGTTAGAAAACTCTCCAGTAGACAATATCAGCGTCATGGGTTCCATCATTACTGCCACTGGAACTTGTTTCCCCAGTTAGGTCAGAGTATTTCTAAATATGTGTGATATACCGGCTTTATAAGCTGCCTTTTGGAAAGCATCCAAGGTGCTTTAAGGTGTCTCGTAGAGTGACGGGGCGGCAGTGTGGTGCCGGAAGGGGCTGCGGACGGGTTACAGGCGACAATCGAGCACAGACGGGAAGTGACAATAGCAGCCCGCTAGGCTGCCACTGGATATGCAGCAGCTCGGCGCAACGGTGAGATAACAACGACAAAAAATAAGCCACGGTGATGAGAGCGAACATGACTGGAAAGAAGCTGAGTGATAAAACGACATTGCACTTTGTTCTATAATTGGTGTTAACCTTGATATTTTGGTCTTGCTCCTATTCCATTTGGTTTAGCAGAACCTTGCGATGCTGTCATATTTTCCAGCTAGCAATTGCTTTCCTCAGAAGAAAACATAATAGCGACATTTGACTTCTGGTGACCTAAAATGGTGTGCTTCTAGTGTGATCAGACTTGGTTTTTTCGAATTATTTTCTCAGAACAGAACCACATCTGCTTACTACTTCAAGCCATCAATGCCTTTTGTTCACTTGTATATATGCAAAAAAAAGGTTTCATGATAAGCGCCAAAAAAAAAACATCATCGGTGTTTCAATGTGTCTTTGGATGCTTAAACCTTTCAAGCACCAAGGGAAAAAACATATGTCTCCTGCCTTTTGAACAAACACGCCGAAACAGCAAGATCTTTTTAGAAACCAAACATCTCTAGTCTCTACCCATGAGTACAATGATGCCTTCGTAACATGTTACGAAGCTGTCAGTGGTGGCTGACACCTACTATGGATAGCCAGTAGGACACCTTCTGGTTGACCTGACCTGACATGACCTGACCCGAGCCAGCTTGAATGCATGAAGGCATCATCTCTGATTAAACCTAACATGAAACATGAAATTATCAAAACGGTTTAACTCAAATTGCATCTTGTTTAACCCTCGCCATGGCAGGGGGGGTTGATGCAACCCCCCCCCCCTAAGCTTTTTCGAAGATAGCGTAAAAACGGCTGCGCGCAGCTCCGCCAAATTTGGCACAGCCTATGGGGCAACATTTTTACATATGACCTAAAAATTTCAAGTCCGGGTGACCTTGGGTCAGGTCACTAGGTTAGAAAAACCAGTACAAGGTCATGGTCAAATTTCAATTTTGTTTTTGCACCTGTCCAACTCACAGTTTTGGACTGATTTCCTTCAAACTTTCAGGATGTGCTAAGTTCACCGAGTTGTATAACACATAGTTCGGTTTTTTTTAGGTCACTGACCTGAGGTCAGTTAGAGGTCATTACGTCGTAATGTTAAGCCTATGGGAAAATACTAAATTCGGAAAATACTGGAGATATCCGCTTTGTTCCATCACTTTTGTGCATTGAACCCATAGTAATTAACAACAAGTCACTTGGTGCTTCTTTGTTTGGTGTACTTATCCATGGGTCAGGTCAAATGAGGTCAACTGAGGTCAAATGACGTTTTTGCTAATAACTTGGCACATAATGACGCTAGAGCTTAAAAAATGGTATAATTGTGTTTCTGGTGGTCAGCCAAATCGAATGATATACGATATGATGCAATTTGGTTAACTTGAACTTAATTAATTAATTACAGTTTACTTTAAAATTAAGAAAAGCTTTAAGTACACTTAAGCAAGCAAAAAAGTACATCATTCGACGCGCCTTGACGTGCTGAGTTCACTGGTGCTTGTCTTTTTTCTCTATCTTAATCAGATCAAAAGTTATAAGCGAAAAACTTTTGACCTGTTTTTAGCGAAATTTTTACATTTATACCCTCCAATACCCCCCTAAATATTGACCTAGAGCAACCAAATTTGCACAGGGGCGAGAAATAATCCAGGGGGCCCACCTATCTACCAAATTTGGTGTTTCTAGGTGCCATAGGAGCCAATCGCGAGGGGGGGGTCGCATCAACCCCCCCCCCTGACAGGCCGTGTTATGAAAAATGCCCTGACAGGGCGAGGGTTAAAGGTAGTGTGCCACCTTTGAAAGATTTCCCATTTTATTTTTCCTAGGATAAGAAGCTTCTGTTTTTACCTAATATCGCAAAAAAAAATCAAAAATGGGCTTGGAATAGTGCCTTTTTCGCCTAAAAGTTTATCGTTTTTTCGATATGTATAACAACTGTAGTGGGCTGACCTGCAAACAGGCGTCGGCAACAATCGCGAATGCAGCGCACATGTGACAATAAGCAAATGTCATTATAGAGTTACGACGTACGGGAATGAGTTATCAGCTGTCTAATCGTAGACAACACAATGTCGAGCCTCAACCTGTATTGGTATTGTTTCTTTTATTTGGCTGTCGAACATTATTTATGGTTTGAAATATGACTTTATGTAAAATAATTGATATGAAAAAGCCGTCTCTTAAGTTATGACCCCATTTCACCACACGCAAGTGGCAGAAATGACAATGATCAGCTGACGCATTTTTCTTGGCCGAAGTCAGAGCGCGCGGCCCGACGCACCACCACCGCACCACAAAGTATGAGCAGAAGCCGCGCCCAAAGCCAGGGCCCCGGTAACGTGAGGTAGCCGAATCGGGGCAGCGTGCGCTGACCCAAGCCGTGGCCTCAGCTTTGGGCGCGGTCTACCGCATCCCCGCGGGCAGTCCCGGGCTATCACATGACACCGGGAGGACGCGCGGCCCCGGCTTGGGTCAGCGCACGCTGCCCCGACTCGGCTACCTCACGTTACCGGGGCCCTGGCTTTGGGCGCGGTCTACCGCACCACCTAACAGGCGTGTTCGAAACCGCAGGAGATGATGATGAACGGGTTTATCGAAACTTGATTGGATGAGCATATCGGTAATAGCGATTTCAGTGTGTGCATTTATTGTTCATAGTGGTGTGAAATGTGGTTGGGGTACGACCGACAACCCGTCGGGGCGAATTTCGCACTGGGGTACTCAAAATTTGAAGAATTTAAGACGTTTCCATGAGTTTTGAAGGTATGGATAAGTTCTAAAAATCCGGTTTTCCTTATCTGGGCCATTAACTCCATACGGTCCAGGAAAGCTGGCACACTACCTTTAACCCGCGCCGTGCCGGGGGTGTTTGAACACCCCCCCCCCCCCTGCGATTTTCGCCGCTATCTCAAAAACGGCGGCGTGGAGCGCCATCGTTTTTGGCACACCTGTTCGTGCATCTTTTCCGCACATGTGAAAATTTCAGACCCAGGTCCTTAGGTCAGGTCACCAGGTCACGCCAAGTGACCTCACCTCAGAAAAATAGGTATGCTTGCCATAGCTACACCGATTGATCGATTGCCTTGAAACTTTCAGCGATTGATGAGAGCAACATTATCTATAAAATGTTAATCTCGGAATTTTGATATCGGTGACCTAAAGTCAGGTCAACTTTGCGGCCTCTCCATTAGATAGAAAATTGAAAAGCGTCTGTTTTGCACGAATGCTATTCTAGACACTCTCAAACATCAAGATGTAGGTAAAATTGACACACTGAACCGGAAAAGGGCAATTGTGACCCCTCGTTATGTCCCCGAGGTCATCTCAGGTCACGAACAGAATCTAACAGTTTTTCGCTAATGATTTCTGATAGAGGCGTGCTAGAGCGCTGAAAACGCCTTAGATATGTTCGGCTCGACGTTGCAGATCGACTGATATGCAACATGACCTTTTCCGGTCACGTCATGACCTTGACCTGAGGTCAAATTTTCAAATTATAATTCATTCGACGTGTCTCGACGAGAGGAACACGATGCTGGCGAAAGAAATGTCATGGCTCTTTTGAGTCAAAAGCTATTGCCGAAAAAAATGATTTTCGTAAAAACTGCTATTTTTAGTTTTTGCCCTCTGGAGGCTAAACCGTTGACCTGAGGTCAGATCTGAGAGCAATACGCAGAAAGGTCTGTAAAAGGGCTATCGAATGCGCTTTTCCGCGACGCTTTAGCTCTGTTGGTTCCCGAGATAGCCGTCGGCAGTTTCCAAAATGTTGAAAAAGTCAACATATTACCTTTGGTGACCTATGGTGACCTGACCTTTGACCTGATTCAGAAAATGACTGAAGTGTTTTCGTCCTTGTTTTGGACGTTCTTTCGATTGCCGCTTACCACGTGTCGCTACGTGGCCCAGGAGCCGAGTTAGAAGGGGGGGTTCAGACACACACACCCCGGCCCGGCGCGGAATCTCGGAGCACCGGCCCGGCGAGGGTTAATACGCCAATTGATAAAGAAAAACGTATGTGTTGTTTCTCACATTGCCGGCTGGAATACTTTTATGAGCCATTCAAGAGACATGGCGCGTTAAAATTTGCGTGTAATCTGAAGACATCATCGTAATGTTGGCGCTTCTCCTGCCCTCTGGACGACTTTTTGTTTACTTTATAGGTAAACCAGTATTTTAACTATGACGCCGTAAATAAGTAACTGGGTTACCTGTTGTCTAAATAGGTGAACCATCAGCACGCTAACCGACCACCACCGCCACTGCCACTACCTACCATGCTGACGGGTGTCCTATGCTGCCCTCCAGCTGCTGCTGCTGCTGCTGCTGCTGACACTCCTGGTGACCGTCTGCAGAGGGGGACACCAGCGGCGTCACCATCCTCAGCCGGACTTCGCCACCAGACTCTCAGCCCTCTGCACGGCCCCCGCACTCTGCCCCCTCACTGAGCCCCGCTATGTGGCCGCCTGCTCGCTGCCCGACGGCTCCCGTGGCGCCATCTGCGCCCCTCAGTTCACCTCGGACCGACCTCAGCGCCCTCTGCGTGGCGGCCAGTCCCAGCTGACGGTGGAGAGGTCGGCGCTCGCAGCGCCCCCTGGATCGTTCTCCGGCCCTGCCGCAGAGCGGCTGTCGGCACAGGCCTGGGCGGAGCTGCAGCGACTGGAGGAGGGGATGATGGCGGACCTGCACCGCGCCGGGCCGGCCCCCGCGGACCTGGCAGAGGAGAGAGGGTCGGAGGAGACAGAGGAGGAGATCCAGGAGATGGGCAGGATCGGTCTGCAGAGAGTCGTCACCGTACAGGCGGTCGGCAGCCAGACACACTTGTGAGTGGGAGGTGGAGGTCTGATTTATCAAAAACCAGTTTACAGAAAATGAAAGCAGCTCAGTTTATTCCTTATACTAAGCGCTATCTTTCTACTGAATGCTTATTGTTATTCACACTGAATACTTACATTACCTACATCTTACTTGTGACAGTTGAGGAAGAGAGGTGCGGTATAACAATTCGATTATGAGATGGTGAAATTGAGATGTTTTGTCTAGAGTATTGTAGCAACTTCCAAAAGTACTTAGTGCACGCTTTGTTTCAGGTATCCTGTCGAACGCTGGATATCTCCGCAACAAATTCCCGGATGTACTCCAGCCAGGAGCGTCAATTGTGACGTCACCTTCTTTAACCGGTCCCTCAGCGGGGAGTGCAACCACCCTCAGGTAAGCTTTAGATTTAGCTTTAGATTAAGATTCTGCATTCACTGATTTGTCAATTGCTGAATATGCCAACAACTCCCAGCTGATTTGCCAACACTCCATCGAATTTTTGCTCGTAAGATCAACTTTTTTGCTCGTTTGCTCGTAGAGCTAGCTTCATTTCATCGCAACTCCACTGACAAAACCCGTGCTTCTGTTCCCACAGAGGCCGTTCCTGGGCCGAGCGCTGACTGGTCTGGGCCGGCTCAGCAGCGCCACCTACGAGGACCGTCTGTACACGCCTCGCTCGTCTGCCGGGGACGGTTCGGTGCTGCCCTCTGCAGACGCCGCCGGCTCCCTGGTCTTCCGACACCGTTCACAGCACCCTCTGACCAAATGGGCCGCCCTTTGGACGGAGCTACTGCAGCGGGACCTGGCGCGCCTGAGCACCCTTCGTCTGCCCAGCGGCCGGAGACCCGACTGCTGCACGGAGCAGCACCCGGCCTGCCTGCCGCTGACCGTGGTCGGACGGTGCGTCAGCTTCGTGCGCGCGCTGCCGGCGCCCGAGCTGGACTGTGTGATGCGGCCGGCGGCGCCGCTGTCTGCCGCCTCCTCCTACCTGGACCTGGAGACGTTGTACGGCAGCTCCGAGGAGGCCGGCAGGCAGCTGAGGGAGCTGAGTGGAGGGCGACTCAAAATGAGCTTTGAGTCTGACTCAGACCTCGGTCTGTCTGAGACACTGCCGTCTGATGCCGATAAATCCGCTGAAGACTCGTCTCGAGAACAGAGAGCCATTGGACTGGGATCACTCAAAACAGGCAACAGAGACCATGCGACTGGTAGAAGTATTTTACCACGAGACTCTGCCGCAAAGCCGCGGTGGATACGATTCGGATCGAAATCGGTGAAGGAATTTAAAGATAGCTCAGCTACACAGTCAGTTTCTAAGCCAACTGTTATTTCCATTTCAAGTCAGCAGTCTACTCAAAATTCAAATGATGGCGCCAAGGCAGACCCCAGGTTTATTGTAAGGGGAGATGTTGTTCCAGATCATCTTAAAAAGGAGCATGATTTGTGGCTGCTCAAGGATGCTGCTGGACTTCACGGAGATTCGAAATGGGAGGAGCCCATTGTTAAATTATCAGATGACAATATCGAACTACCCGAGTCTGCAGATTCCCCTATCGTAGAGCTATTGGAGGACAAGTTGCCTGGTCCGGTCAATCCAATTTGGCCAGAGGGTGACCTAAGTTTGCCGGAAGATGGATTTGATCTGTCAGAGGGCAATTTAGGGCTGTTGGAAGAAGACTTTGGTTTGTTGGGTGGCAGCACAGCAATTCTCGAAGAAGAATTACAACTGTCTGACAGTTTAGGACTGGAGAACGATGGCTTTGGTCTAGGTAATGCTGACCTTTGGATGGAAGACTGCTTATGGGCATGGAAGGAGAATTATTCAGGATTTTTGAAAAGTGGCGCACGCTGGCTGAGAGATGATGTGAAATGGAAAGAAAAACTTGGGTCTAAAAAGCACCCGAATATTGCAGAAATCTTGAAACTGTTGCTACGGTGCAGAATAAAAGGTGAGAAAGGCATGAAGGGCATGAAAGGACCACCCGGCGAGCGGGGGCCTAAGGGCTGGAGGGGAGCACCCGGGAAGCGTGGGCCTCCCGGACGGGACGGGAGGCCCGGTGTGCCGGGACAGAAGGGAGACCCGGGCATGCCGGGCCCGCCTGGCGTTGGCATTCCGGGCCCGCAGGGGCCTATGGGACCGGCCGGACCCAAGGGAGATCGCGGAGAGAAGGGTCACCCGGGACCCGTGGGACCCAAGGGGCCCAAAGGGAAGGACGGTATAAACGGTGTGCCTGGCACCCCAGGGACTCCCGGGGAGCCGGGGCCCCGCGGAGACTCCGGCGAGCCGGGAGTGATGGGCCCCCAGGGACCGGTCGGACCCAGTGGAACAGACGGTCAGACGGGGCCCATCGGACCCGCGGGTCCCGCCGGACCGAGGGGCCTACAGGGACCCATGGGTCCGCCCGGCGAGCGGGGTCTCAACGGACTACCGGGCAGACCCGGCGAAAAAGGCCACCATGGTCTCAAGGGAGACGACGGGCCGCGGGGTCTGCCGGGTCCGGCGGGCGCTCCGGGTCGGGACGGGCCGGCCGGACCGCCCGGAGTGCCCGGTCTGCCCGGCCGACCCGGCCCCCCGGGCCCGCCGGGACCGCCGGGACCAGTCCAGTACATCGTCCAGCGCAGTTCACCGGGACCCAGTCAGGTCCTCGTCCCCAGAGTTACACTTCACGACGTCATGCGGAACTCATTTAGCAGGCTGTTCAGCGGACGGAGTCTGGATGCTCCTCTTGAGCTCGATCTTAGCGCTCTCGCTGTCCACACCCCGGTGGAACCCATGTCTGATCCACTGCTGGATCTACTGAGACACGAGCACAACAGGGTGGCAGAGATCGTCCGCACCAATCACCCCCTCTGGGAGGACGAGCTGGTGTTCCAGACGGCGCGCCGGGTGGTGATCGCCCAGTGGCAGCACATCACCTACAGAGAGTATCTGCTGCACGTGCTGGGCACCTCTGCCGCCGCAGAGACGGGACTGGGAGGTCCGTTCGGGGACGTGGCCGACCCGACAGTCAGCGTCGAGTTTGCCGGGGCAGCGATCCGATTCTGGCAGAAAGTCCCCGAGGTGCCACAGCGTACAGTCGCTGTCACAACTCAGCGCTCGACTCGCTCATTCTTAGACCTGGTCAGAGAGACATCCTCTCACAGGCAGGCTTTCGAAGGAGCTCCCAGGAACGGCACTCTAGAGTTGTATGCTGTGAACGTACTCCGTGGCCGCGACCTCGGGTTATCTTCCTACGCCACCGTTCGTCAGCTCTGTACAGGTCGCTCAGTGGCAGACTGGAGTGACCTGGCGGATGTCATGGATCCTCCAGAGCTGGAGCAGTTGCGGAGCACCTACTCCAGTCCCCAGGACATCGATCTGTGGGTGGGTGGCATGCTGGAGAGTCGCGCGCCCTCGGCCAAGGTGGGCCCCACCTTCCAGTGCGTGATCGCTGACCAGTTCCGGCGGCTGCGGGATGGCGACCGGCTCTTCTACGAGCGCAGCCTGAGCGGAGAACAGCTGCGGGAGGTGCGCAAGGCCAGCCTGGCGCGCCTGCTCTGTGATAATCAGGAGGGTCACCGCTTGGCGGCGCCACTGTCGCTCGAACCGCTCGGAGGTCAGAATCACATGGCGCTGTGCTCGTCAGAGGCGATTCCAAGACCCGACCTGAGTGTCTTTTGATTTAACTGGATACAACGAATGCATGCTATGATTAGGACTCTGGACTGCTTAGGTCATTTTTCGATGTTGTTAGCTTTGTTTGAAATGGGGTGCGATGAATTATTTAATTTTATTTATTATTTACGTTTTACTGACTCGTTTATGCTTGCATTATTTGCTGCTGTTATCCGTGATTCTCAACTAATAGGTATGTTTTGTTGTTATGGGTCTCGCTGTCTAGTGCCTATTTAAGTGTGTGACAATTTCGTGATTCTAGTAATGACTAGCCGTTTAAATGTTTGTAATTGTCTGTTCAAACGGGAAGTGAACACTGAATTCCGTTTAACCCTCGCACGACCAGGCCATTTCTCATAACACGAACGACCAGGGGGGGTTGTTACGACCCCCCCTGGCGTTTCGAAACGGAAGGTCGTAGAGCTTAGCGGAAAAAAACAACGGATTGCTCTCAACGAGATCTCGCGATTGGTGGTATATTTTTTGGTCATAGGTCAACATTTGACCTACTTATGACCGGTCAAAGGTCAAATTTTCCGAAAAAATCAAACTTTTTCAACTTTCCGCGGCGATTGCGGCAAAACGGTGGGAGATATCGACTTGAAACCTTCACTATCGTGTTCCTTGATCAATTCTCTATCGTTTGGTATGTATTTCGTTTCCCTAGTTCTAAAAATGGCGCGTTGGGAGCGCTGGAAGTCGGCAAGGTCACAGTCGGCGGCAGAAATTCGAAAAATCAAAATTTAAATTTTTGAAATCTGATTGTATTTTTGGATTTGGGAGGTCCATTTGCTCCCTATAGAAGCTAATATTGCTGCATATTCCCATTGAGGTGACAAGAATTAGCAAAATAGTGGTTCGGGCGCTTTCAAAAATAGTACCGGACGCTGTTCCTCTTGTGACGTCATAGCTCCGTGACCTGACCTGACCCGGTCAATTTTCTTGCACCACACGACAGCCAATGCTTGCCCCAACATGCATGGGAAGTTTCATCATGATCCATCAAACAATGTGGGTATCACTGGCAGAAAACCTAGGGATTCGGCGCACACGTTTGGTAACTGTCGGCCGGAGGCTGTACCTCTTATGACGTCATAACTCCGTGACCTGACATGACCCGATCAATTTTTTTCGGCAAAAGATGCGCAAAGGTTGCCCCAGAGGGTATTGAAAATTTCAGCCCGCTACGACAAGCCTTTTAGCGTGCACTTCGAAAAAACCTCAGGGGGGGGGGGGTGATACACCCCCCCCCCCCTAGGCGTTCTAGGGTTAAAACGATCATTCTGTCTACGTTTATCAATAGGGTCGTTAAAACAGCTCATGATCCCTTATGTCAGCGCTGTCATGTACATTATGAATGCCTATGAGTTGGATTCATTTATGAGCCTAGCCATTCTTGATGTTCATTCCTGGCTGTTCAATGTCCGTACGTCTGTCCATTTTGCTGAGCTAATAAATTTTAAGAAATCAGTCTGTTTTATCTGAGTGCACAAATTAATATTTTGTGATAGCTGTCGGCTTTTGCGATGCATTATTAACCCGCGCGGGGCTGGGGTCTCCAGCCGAACGCGCGGGGCTGGAGGGGGGGGGGTAAATTTTACCCCCCCCCCCCCTGTTATCTCCCGAACTAATGGTCCGATTTGGAAAACTCAAACGCCAATCGAAAGCTCTCATCACGAACTACTAAAAACATGTACTTAATTTAAAGTTTGAGGTCAAGGTCAAGGTCAGGTCAAGGGTACAAATTGCAAGTTTCTACAGTATCGGCCTTGCACCGTACCTAGTTGCCGAAGCATGGAGTCATGGACTGAGACTGATCGCCCAAAACGTGTTCTTAGGCTACAAAGACAATATTCGTTGCATACAATATCATTTAGAGGTCAAGGTCAAGGTCAGGTCAGGTCAGGTCAGGTCACCAAAAAACAAAATATAGAAAAGGGCATGTGCGACACATGTTTTATGGGTCATTTTACTCATAGAATTCAATAGACACACTCAATAAGTGATATGGACCACATCTGGATGAATTTCAGGTCGAGGTCAGGTCAAGGTCAGGTCAAGTGAGGTCAAATTTTGAAGTTGGTTGTTAAGGCCTAAAAAGGTGTCTATCTGATGCAGTTTTTCACGGCGAATCAAATGGTGCTATTTTTGTTTCCGTACGAGGTCTAGAACTTCCAAAAAAGTCATTTTTCAAAAATTTTGTGTGTCGTGACGTCATAAAATTTTGAATAACTCCCACATTTTTGAACCGATTCTTCTAAAATTTGGTATGTAGGTGCACATAGACCACTTCTCTGACATATATTCCGGTTTTTTCGATAGACTCAAATTTTTGGATTTTATAATGATTTTCCCAAAAAAATCAGTTTTTTGAAAAAATTTAGGCCAAAATCCAAAATTTTCAAAAAACCGAGATAGCCATTTGATAGACAAAGAAAAATTACGTATAACCTTTTTTGTTACGTCTTGATTCCTTTAAAAATGAAGATGTTAGCGGCGTTTGAACTTTTGCCGTTTTTGAGGCGAAAATGGCGAACATGACGTCACTAAAACGTCAATTTCTCAAAAATTTTCCGACGGATTTCGCTCAAATTTTCAGGGGACGTGTCACATTGATGTAAGAAAAGGTACTGAAAGTTTGGCGGCGCTGCGCGCCGCCGTTTTTGAGATATCGCAAAAATTCGCGAGGGGGGTAAAATTTACCCCCCCCCCCAGCCCCGCGCGGGTTAATTGTCGGCCATGGTATGATTTACTACACTTGACTTCCACCAGGGAAAGCGCATTGTTTTGCACGGGTAAACAAAGGATGCGCAAAGTTGTTTCAGATGAGTTGAACCACGTTGAACAAATCGAGCAGCATTACCGTCGATGCGACACGGAATGAACATGACAGACCACATGTCACAGAGTCCTGCATACCTATACTATAAACAACATTATGTAGTGTTATAACCCTCGCCGGCACGGAAGGGGGGGGGGTGATGCACCCCCTTCCTAAGGTTTTTCGCAAATAACTCGCGTAAAAAGCAGCCGATTGCTACAAAACTTTCAGTACCCTCGCATTGATCAATTTTACACCTACCTTGAAAATTTCATTACCCTGACTCAAATGATCTTTGACCTGTGACATAGGTACTTTCCGAGACCATGTTTAGCCGGATTCGCGATTCGGCGTATGTCGGCTCGCATTACCCGCGCGTTTGCAAGCTTTTCGTGGTTTGAAACGTTCAAACATGTGGTTCGATGTTGCTCCCATGCATTTGAGTGGATGTCAAGGTCACCTGAAGGTCAGGTCAGGTCATTGACCTTTGGGGACATCGGCTCACTTTTTCGAGTTTTACATGTTTCTAGGCTAGTTTTTTGGAGCTGAATTCGAAGTTAGCAACCATTTGAACATTTACTAAGTAGTTTTGGTGCCTTCGTAACATGCTACGAAGCTGTCAGAGGCGGTTGACACGTATTACGAATACCCATCACAATCCCTACCGGTTGACCTGACCTGACCTGACCCGACCTGGTCTAAATGCTTAAAGACATCATCTCTGATCAAAACTTACACGATATTCGTGATCAGCACCCCGGAAAACCACATAGCAGCCACACTTTACGACTTTCTAACATGTCCTGATTTTTCCGCTTTTCGGGTCATTGACCTGACCTGGAAGGTCACCCGATGACCTAGGACCTTAAAATTGGGTATCATCGGCTTTGTCTCGTGACGGGCAACACGCTCGTTGTTTCCGCGAAGCTCTAGCTCGATCAGGGGCCAAACGCGAGGGGGGGTCGTACCAACTCCCTCCCCCCTTGTGCCGTCGAAGGACGCAAAATGGCCTGTGCCGGCGAGGGTTAAAATTTGGGTATCATCGGCTTCCTCTTGTGACGGGCAACACGCTCGTTTTTTTCCGCGAAGCTCTAGCTCGATCAGGGGCCAAACGCGGCTGGTCGTACCTCCCCCCCCCCCCATTTGTGCCGTCGAATGACGCAAAATGGCCTGTGCCGGCGAGGGATAATGTGTTAGCTGACTTATAAGGGTCAATTCGGAATACATTTATCTTATCAAAAACGGTTGATCATATAATTTAAAAATTGGGCGTCAGCAAATGAAGAACGTTGAAGAAACTTCTTTTATGCATTCTTTTGTGAAGGTTTACAATTGCAATATTTGCAGTTCCTATGCCATCCCCTTATTCCGGCTATATGTATCTGCGCACATACTTATGAAACACATTCACCGTTACATATAACGTACCGCATCTATGTAGGTGTGTACTTTGTACATCTCAACTACAAGTCATTGCACTGTAACACACATTGCATATCAGATGAGCCAGATTTTGCAACAGCGAGCATCCGAGCAATGGAGACTGAGATTGAGATAGCCTACACGCCCCAGTTAAAGTGGAGCTCAAACTCTTTAGTGTGTGCCCCTTATCAAAACAGCACTGCGTAGACTGTGTGTATCCAAGTACAGCGCTGCCCGTTATACGCCTATCTAAGTAGTGCGATGACTGGGTGTATCGTTAGGCCTTCCCTGGACACGTGCCAGTCGTGGAGATGTAACAGACGCAATTTATTGTTGGTGATCATCTGGATCCATAATCTCGTTCCGAACCCGCTGAACTAAAAAAAAAAATGTTTATTGTAGATTTTTGTAAAGGCATTTACCCTCACGTCTACTTACGACTTACGACTTACTTGCGTTATTTTGCTATGGGTTACATGACCGACCCTGGGATCCGGCGAGCTGCGGTTTTGTGGTAACTGGAAGAGTTAATCATAGTACACTGGAGGAAAACGCAGGACCCAGATGATCTTGGTAGAGTAAGTATTTCCGTTTACGGAGACCAACTTTAAGTATAACGTGATTATATTCTTAGTATTACGTGTAATGCGCCTTGGGTTATTTTAATGTGACGTAGAACCAACACACTTAAGGCGGCCGCACACTGGGCCATTCGGCGGGCGAGATTCCGCAAAAGCGGAATGTCGCGGGCGACATTCCTACA